ACACACACACACACACACACACACACACACACACACACACACACACACAGCTCCAGAGTTCATTTCATTAACATTACCAGCAAATCGAGCTTTAACCTAATTTGGTTCTTTCAATTTTTCCATTTACTTCACCTTATTTACCCTCTATATTGTCTATTTCCGTACTTCGAAGCAACAGATCACTCAGAAATGAACATTTTTGTTTCAAACATTCCTTTAGACCTGTATAACTTTATAAATGAAACATATTTTGAAGATGACTGACTTTCATTGCATGAACAAAAACACTGAGACTTTTGTGTTTGGAATGACATGAGGGTGATAAAATAATGACAGAATTTTATTTTTGGGTGGATTATCACTTTTAATGTGTAGTATGAAGGGTTAATATTGTAACTAAACAGCTGTGTGCATCTTAAACCAGTCTAAGGTGGTTTTCTGCGCTTATCTGGTCTAAGCTATTCTCCCAGGCTTGATACAAGCACAAAAACAGACTAAAACCAGCTAAACAGAACAAACCACCTTACACTAGACAGTCTAACATTGCCAAGTTACGAAACATGATACCTGTTTCTGATGCAGAAATTACTGGTCTAAGCTTTTATCCCGGGCTTGAGACAAGTACAAAACGCCTCTAAAAGCATCTAAAGAGAATGGATGAGAAAACTACATTACACTAGACAGTCTAAGTGGGTTTGCGTCCTCCTTCTAAAACCAGCTAAACAGACCGTGTGAGCAAACCTGGAAAGTCTAAGGTGTTTTGGTCACCTTTTCTGGTCTCAGCTGGTCTACGTTGGTTTAAATGGTCTCCCAGGCTTGATGCAAGCCTAAAACCCCTCTAAACCAGCTAAACAGACAAGACTGGGTGACCAAATGATTGTAGACTAGACAGTCTAATGTGGTGTGCCGGCCTAAGCAGGCTTAGATGGACTTCTAGGTTTGATACAAGCAAAATAGACCAGACTAGACAGTCTAAGGTGGTTTGGTTACCTATTGCTTGCTGGTTTTAGAAGGGTTTTGGGCTTTGACAAACCAGCAAAACAGACCTGACTACTATAGGTGATCCACCTTAGACTGTCTAGTCTGGTCTGTTTTGTTTTCTGGTTATAAGCCTAGGTGACCATGTAATCCAGATCAGACTGTCAAACCTCCTTAGACTGTCTAGTGTACGTAGTTTTGGCCACATATTCTGGTCTGTTTTACTGGTCTCAGCTGGTCTGAGCTGGTTTAGATTGTCTGCCAGGCTCACTACAAGCCCAAAACCTTTCTAAAACTAGCAAAACAGACCAGACTAGACAGTCTAAGGCGGTTTGTTTACATAGTCTGGACTGTTTTGCTTGTATCAAGCCTAGGAGTAACTTTCGACTGGCAAACCATATTAGTTCTAGTTTACAGTGATTTGGTCTGTTTTGTGGTTTTAGAAGGGGTTAAGCCTCGGTGGCCATCTAATCCAGCAAACCACCTAAGACTCTCTAGTGTACAGAGTTTTGGTCATGTATTCTGGTCTGTTTTACTTGTCTAAGCTAAGAGCTAGTTTGTTTGGTCACCCAGTCTGGTCTGTTTTCTGGTTTTAAGCCTAGGTGACCATCTAATCTAGATAAGACTGTCAAATCACCTTAGACTGTCTAGTTTTGGACACATTTTCTGGTATGATTAGCTGGTCTCAGCTGTTCTAAACTGGTTTAAATGGTCACCCAAGCTTAGATACAAGCCCAAGACCCTTCTAAAACCAGCAAAACAGACCAGACTATGTGACCAAACCACCTTAGACTGTCTAGTCTTGTCTGTTTTACTTGCATCAAGCCAAGGAGTCCATCTAACCACCTTAAACTGTCTAATCCACGATGACTTGATCAACCAGTCAGGTCTGTTTTGCTGGTTTTAGAAGGGTTTTGGGCTTTTATTAAGCTTGGGAGACCATCTAAGACAGTTCAGACCAGCTTAAACATGTATTCTGGTCTGTTTTGCTGGTCTCAGTTGGTCTCAGCTGGTTTAGATGGTCTTCCAGGCTTGATGCAAGCCCAAAACCACTTTAAAACCAGCAAAAAAGAACAGACTATGTGACCAAACCACCTTAGACTGTCTAGTCTGGTCTGTTTTGCTTGCATCAAGCCTAGGAGTTCATTTGACCTCCTTAAACTGTCTAGTCTACGATGACTTGGTCACCCAGTCTGGTCTGTTTTGCTGGTTTTAGAAGGGTTTTGGGCTTGTATTAAGCTTGGGAGACCATCTAAGACAGTTCAGACCAACTTAAACATGTATTTTGGTCTGTTTTGCTGGTCTCAGTTGGTCTAAGCTGGTTTAAATGGTCACCCAAGCTTAGATAAAACCTCAAAAACCTCATCAAGCTTGGGAGACCGTCTAAGCCCGTTTAGACCAGCTGAGACTAGTTTAGACAATCTTAGACTAGTTTAAGCTGTTTTTTCAGACTCTTAAGAAGGAAAATGAGATGGTATGAAGAGAGAAAAAGTATAAGGAGGAACTGAGGAAGGTTTGGAGACGCATGCAAACAGAAATCAATGAAATGAAGGACTCACATGGATGTGGCAGAGCATTGCTCTTGTCTGTGGGTTCGGAGGACTTCTGATATAAGGAACCTTCGGGAGAAAGGGAGGGATGGAGGGTGAGGGATGGAAATCAAATTCAACACAATCGGATTGAACAAATTCAAACAAGCCAACAAAGACATGAGCGATGAGGGCAGCCGCGGATGATTCTTATCCATTTGGTGTCACTTTTAGCCTTTCCTGGACTCTTCCTGCAGACAAACGACACGCAAGCGAACGCTGCTATCCGTCAGCCGCGTTTTAGTGCTTCATTAGGACTAACGAGCCAGCGGGACGGATGGTTTTAAGCTGATAAACAGTCCTGGAGTCAATGAGTCAAAAGCACTTGCATCTTCCCATCTGACACACGGACACGAGGAATGAGCTGCACTCTGAGAGCTGGAAGCTACTAGAGCAGAGCCGCCCGCTAATGTAGCATGAGCTACGGCACTAAATCACACCCACACTGACTCCAGGAGCCCGACGGGGCCGGAGACTCCAGCGTATCTGCATATCAAAAGCGCTGCAGGGCTGCATTTCCATCAAACGCTTCGGTGCTGCTGCTTTCTTTCGTGCATTTTCTACTGAAGGAGGAAGTTGAGTGAAATTGAATGGATGGAAAAACGCCGAAGTAGAGCTGCACGAGTCTGGATAAATTGAGATCAGATCAAACAGAGATCGCGATTCTCCGAACAAAATGTGTGACAAAATATTATTGCTGCAAACTATTTTGAATGAATTATTAAACATTTTAATATTAGTGCTGTCAAACAATTAATCGCATCCAAAATAAAACTTTTCGTTTACATGATATATGTGTGTGTGCTGTGTATATTTATTATGTATATATAAATACACACACATACAGTATATATTTAAGAAAAATATGTTATGTTTATATATTAAATATATTTATATATAATATAAAATATAAGAATACAAAATATATAAATGCATATACATGTAAATATTTTCAAAATATATACTGTGTGTGTGTGTATTTATATATACGTAATAAATATACACAGTACACGTACATATATTATGTAAACAAAAACTTTTATTTTGCATGCGATTAATCACGATTAATCGTTTGACAACACTATTTAATGTTTTTAAAATATAATGTGTTTAATACAGCCATTTTTAATATTAAGTGGTTTGCATGAATGATTCAACAAATCATAAATACTTCACTTGTTTCATTACTAGATGAATCCGCGTTTTTGAACGAATCTCTTGAATGAATGATTCAATGGCAAATGCTTTTTTTACAGTCACTTGTCGCCACCTAGTGGAGAAACGATGCTTCGACAAATGTTATTTGAAGCGCAAGTTACTTTCAAAAGATGATTTGCTCTGTTTTGATCGCTTCCAGACATCAATGTTTATATCCGAACTATAAACGTTCTCCCCAGTATTTCTGTGATGATACGAATGACTGTAAGACAGAAATAATGCTGTGTAGTTGAAAAGAAGCTGTTTCTTACCTAAACATGCTAACTGTCTGCTCTCTGTCGGCGGCAGTGCGAACACAGATCTGTACCAGTATGATTTTTTCAAAGGTTTAATAGACAAGCGAATCGTTGTCATTTAAAAATGGGATCGCATGGGTGTTTAAATCGAGATTGCCGTCTTTTAACGATTAATAGTGCAGCCCTATGCCGAAGACACATTCGGATGTAGAAAACGGTCAGACGATGAAGCCTCAGATGGGAGAGGCTGACGGGTAGATACGTCGATGGACAGGGAAATCAATGTGCTGATGGATGGAGCATTTATGTGCTTGTGATCAGACGAGACAGAGAACTCGTGACCTTTGACCCGTCTGCTGTGTGTCTGCCTGAAATGAACCTATGAATCTCACAAACACATTCAAGTCACATTACAGCCCAAAATTAAAGATGAAAAAGAATTTAAAAAATTATAATTTTACATAAACAATGAAAACTGATAGAGGACCACTATGAAATAATTTCCATGTCAATTAAACTGCTCATTTTAAAAAATTTAAATAATGTAATGATTAAAATTATTTATTTATTTACAAATTTTTTTTAAAGGAAAATTAGAGAATGTATATATACAAAACAATACAAAATGTATTTATTTATTTGGTTGGTTGTTTTGCATTACACTAATGAGAAAAGGAAACTGCCATGAAAATAATGTCACAATACAAAAATATTAATTTAATTCATATATTCATTTTTTTTTTTTTTTTTTGCATGTCCAATATAAACTAAAATGATGTATAAATCCCCCAAAACATTTTTTTTATTTAATTATTATTATTATTTTTGTATTACACTAATGAGAAATTGGGAGGAAGTCATGTAAATAATGTCACAATGCAAAAATATAATATCACTTTGCATGTTCAGGTCACATTACAACAATACATAAAAATACATTTATATTTTACATAAACACAATGAAACCTTATTACACTTCCATGTCAACTAAACAGCTTTAATTCAGCTTTTGTTTTTGTTATTTAATTCATTGAATTGTTTAAATAAATATATAAATAAACAAATGAATAAATGTAATACAAAAAAACTATCTTTTTTGATTGTTAAATACTAAAATACTACACAATACTAAATACTTGTTAAAGTATTGTGATTCAATACTTACAAAACATAACAAAAAAATAATTAATTGTGTTTTTTTTGCACTACACTTATGAGAATTTGGAGGGAAATGTGCCTAAATGTCATGAAAATACTGTCACAAAAGCATAAATATAAATCTAAGCTGGTTTTATCTGGTTTAAGACGGTCTCCCAGGCTTGACACAAGACCAAAAAAACCCTTCAGAAACCAGCTAAACACACCAGACTGGGTGACAAAACCACCATAGACTGTCTAGTCTAAACTGAGTCACAGAGTCTGGGGGTTTGGTTTGGTTTGGTTTACACAGGCTTGATACAAATCCCAAACCCCAACATAAACCAGACCAGGCAACCAAACCAGCTTAGACCAGCAAAACGGATGCCCAATTCAATTCAAACTGAACAGATTAAACTGTATATGCTAAATATACTGAATATATTCTGCTGGTGTACTCTGATACCCACTGAATGATGTCTGTAGTAATTTACCATGTTATTCACATGCTACTCAAAGAAAACCACTGTTTTGTTTTAGTGTTTTCTGTCTCTTCATATAAAGTATAAAGGTGAGGGCATCGCGGCAAGTATTAGGTTTCATGCTGCAAAAATTTGCACGGGATCCAGTTTCTAGAAGAAAAAGCCGGCGTTTGGCCTTGTGCTTGTCGTGCCCTTTCTGTAGATCGATATGTCAAGAAAATGTCATCCGTCTGTGCATTAAATAAGCAAAGCCCCGAAAAGCAACATCATAACAAAGCAAGACACAAACGGAGCGGACGAGCGATCGAGCGCACGATTCACAGCTACAGCGCCAAAGGTTAAAACTAGAGAGAAACGCTTCAAATTCAATCTGCACTGCAGCCGAAACACAATTTGAGCACTTCGCCAACTCAAAAAGCAAATAGCTTTCTAACTCGGACTGGAAGATGCCATTAGCGCAGAGGAAACGTCCCATAAACGCTTCCTAACGGCATGAACCCGCGCTCCTGCTGGACGAGCCGAGTTCACGTATCAAGTGTAATTCACGTCCAATGATATCTGCAATAATGTGAGCTTTCAGATGATGTGGATTTCTGCTAAACGGCCGCTGAAGCCGTCATTAGCATGCACATAAGTGCTTTCACCCTTTTAGCTGGAGAAAGGGGAAAAAAATCAATCAGGGGAAGTGAGCCTAAATCTATAACGTTATGGGTTTTATATTCCTCGCAAACTGGCCATCAATCTGCGCAGGACTAATGCTCCACAATGCATTTCACCGGATTCAAATGGCAGAGAAATGACTTCAATATCTCAGATCACAGCCGTTCCTGAAAGCTCAGTTAACAACTCAACCAACACACGCTTTAGGACGCAGACCAGAGCTAGACCTTATAAACCAGAAGCTTAATCTTATCAAACTGATGAGAGAAGTCTAAAAGTAGCTGCTTTCAAATGTTTCTCGAGCAGCTGATATCATTTACACATAAAATATATATTTAAAAATACCTACAAACCAGTTTAAATGCAAAAAAAATGAATAAAAATAATTGAATGTATTATACATTTTTCTTTAATTTATTATAATCACTTATTTAACTTATTATTTAAAATGTATTATAACTTATTTTATTTGTATTTAATAAATATAGTTACACTAATAATAATTTTTGGGGGAAATGTGATTGTCACAATGCTAAATAATCTTATATTACTTTAATAATAATACATTTTATTTATAATGTGCTTTTCTAGTACCCAAAGTGCTACAATCTATTAGAAATAGAACAAATACAATACAAGGGAAAAACAAACAAATCTATTAATCAATACAATTAAAAAAAACTATCTTTATAAATATTAGTGCTGCCAAACGATTAATCACGATTAATCTCATCCAAAATAAAAGTTTGTTTACATAATATATATGTGTGTGTTCTGTGTATATTTATTATGTATATATAAATAAACACATTCAGTATATATTTAGAAAATATTTACACGTATATACATTTATATTCTTATATTTTATATTATATATAAATATATTTAATATATAAACATAACATATTTTTCATAAATATATACATGCATGTGTTTGTATTTATATATACATAATAAATATACACAGCACACACACATATATTATGTAAACAAAAACTTTTATTTTGGATGCAATTAATCACGATTAATCATTTGACAGCACTAATATATATATTTAAAAAACTTATGAAGAAACATTGCTAAAGTCTAAAAACAACTGTTTTAAATTTTAATAATAATAAGAAATATTTATTGAGTAGCAAAATCAGTTAATATAATTTATACAAAAATATATATATATAAAAAAATGCTTAAAACAACTAAAGTAATAATTACAATTTATTAAATATGTATTAAAATGCAAAAATGAATATTATCAAGATTTTGCCATTTTGCGGGAAATGTGTTTAATTGCCACAATGCAAAATAATTCTATATTAATTGTCTTATTAAAAAAATATAGATTTTTTTTAAAAATACTAATATTACAAAGAAAGACAAAGAAACATTTCTGAAGTCTAAAAACTGCAGTTTTTAATATTGATAATAATCAGAAATGTTTCTTAATCAGCATATTATACTGATTTCTGAAGATCATGTGACACTGAAGACTGCAGTAATGCTGCTGAAAATACAGCTGCGCATCACAGAAATAAATACAATTTTAACATATATTCACATAGAAAACAGCTATTTTAAATTGTAATAATATTTCACAATTTTACTGTTTTTAATGCAATTTTAATCAAATAAACATAGCCTTAGTGAGCCCAAGAGACTTCTTTCAAAAACATAAAAAATTAAATTATTCCGAACTTGAAGTATATGAATATTGTAATCAATCCATACCATTCTACATACTAAAGTACCATGATATACCATCACTGTACTACGGTATTACCGCTGCGTCTACACTACAATAATTAAATAAACATATAATGTTACATAATAATTATTATACACAATAATTATAAATCTTCCCATGATGCACTGAAACGAAGCTTGTAAAACTGAAGAAACATATCTGAAGTCTAAGAAGCATCAGACGCACACAGACAGACGGACGGACGGTTCCTCTGAGCCGCCGATCAATACTCTGATTAACACTCGCTCATCATTTATACGCTAAAATCAAACGGGTAATTAGATTCATGATTATCATTAACGACGTTTGATTCAATCTGCTCCGTATCTCCGCAAGCCCTGGCCATTTCATTTTCATGACCTAATCAAAATGAATATGAAACTCTGCGTTTATTAAAGCAAACAGATGCCGTTTCGCCCTCAACAAACGCATTTATTATTGAGGAAACGCTTTTGTTTTTGCAGTTGCGTTCTCGTTTTCAGAGAGAGAGAGAGAGTGAAGGGAGGATTAGCAGATAAACACGGGCCGCGTCTCTTCAGAAGAGGGAAACATTTGGTTTCAAATCTCCTCTGGCCTTCACAACCTCTGCATGTATAATCAATGACAAACAGCAGAGACTCAAGTTACTGTTTGACTGGATGAACTAAACGGAAAAACAAGAGAAACGATCCTGTCCCGACCGCAGCTGGAACGCTTTGCATTTTCCCACCGAGCTGCTGGAGCAAATGTAAAGCCGTTGTCATCATTCACTCAGTCGTCGGGCTCGTCCGCTGGTGTTTTTACTGATTCACGCAGCTCTTTACAACGACCGCTGCATGCTGGGATCCAACACAGACAAGAAACAACTAATATAAAAGTAGTCTGGGTTCTTTGTCCTTCATGGAACCTGACAGATCTCTATAGGCTTCTACTGCATGGAAAAAAGCAGCGTGAACATTGAGCAAAACTTCTTCTTTTGTGTTTCACAGCAAAAAGCCAGAAAGCCAGTCTACTGGTTTGGAACATGAGTAAATGATGACAAAAATATTAATTTTAGGTTTTACTTTTTAATATCAATCAATCAGACTTGATTGAGGGGTGTGGGCTTAAAATAAATGTTGCATTATATCCAATTATTAAAATATTAACATTTATAAATTTTCTAAAAATTTTTAAATAAGCACACAAAAAAAGAATAGCTTTTTTAATGTTTAAATTTTTCTTAATTTAATTTTTCAATTCACGTTGTTGTTTTTTTACATTTCAATGCAAAAAAAAAAAATGTTAAAACAAAAATATCAATTAGAAATAAAGATATGCTTACATGGCATTTAATTAGACTGATTTTATTCATCACATTCAACTATACTATACTAGTTTATAATATTTATATAAATGTTTATATAAATGTAAAAACATTTACCCTTATGACTGGTTTTGTGCTCCAGGGTCACAAATGTAAGATAAGACCTGTTTTTAGAGAACACAGAGAAGTTTATTTTTCTTAATCCTATTATTTCTTCTAATTTTAATAATAAAACTGAGTATATTTTGTTAGGTTTACACTTAAAACATGCAAAAGCATTCTAAAAACAGGTCTCATTTTGAGGATGGTTTGATATATTAACTGGAAACTGAAATAAAAGCACAGATTTTTCTCAGTGAATGATGGGTGGAGAGGGTGAACCCGTATCTGAGGAGTGATATGGGGTTTGTGGATGGTGGGAAGGCCTGTATAAGGAGGAAGAGGATGAGGAAGGGCGGCACTCACTCTGCATACAAAGCCCATCCGTACAGTTCTTGGACTGCAGCACCGCTCCCTCGCAGTCCTTGCCGCCGTTTTTGGGGGCCGGAGCGCTGCACTCGCGCCGTCTCCAGTGAGTGCACTCTGTCCCACACGTCGACCACTTGCTCCACTGCGTCCACAGACCGTCCACTGCAGCAAACACAGCACGGATAATAAATCAGCATATTATTATGATTTCTGAAGATCATGTGACACTGAAGACTGGAGTAATGATGCTGAAAATTCCGTTTTGATCACAGGAATAAATTAGGTTTTAATGTATATTAAAATAGAAAAACTTTATTTTACATCATAATAATATTTCACAATATTAAATTTTTTCCTGTATTTTTGATCAAATAAATGCAGCCTTAATGAGCAGAAGAAGCTCCTGTAAAAACATTAAAACTCATTCTGATCCCAAACTTTTGAACGGTAGTGTATATAATTACACATTAAATATAAATTATTTAATCATAAGTACAGTAAAACTGATCTAATATCTAATTCTTAGTTGCTATAATATAATTTAATATAATATAATGTAATACAATATTTGAGACAGCACTGAAAATTTGTAATTTTTTTTTAAATAAAGATTTATATACCCAATTAAATATTTTTTATTTTACAAATACTAACTCTAAATGATTCAAACCATTATGCATACCAACCTTTAATGGAAAATGGAAAAATATAATATAATATTTTTAATTTAAATAAATATTTATTTATCATATTTAATCATATATTTTTTAAAGATTTAAAAATGTAAATATTAATAATAATAATAATAAAAATAATGATTACAAATTCTAATTATAAATTACTCAAAGTATGCTGATAACAATTTGTAAAGAAAAAAGTCACATGAAAAAATACTTTATAATATAATATAGGTATGAGACCACTTTATTGAAATAAGGATTTATTTATCCTATTAAACCTATTAATTAAAAACAAAACCTAATTGTCAATTACTAAGATTATTATACTGATAACAACTTGAAAAATGTTAAATGCAAAAAATGCAACATAATAAATTATAATATAAGTCTGAGAACACACTGAAAATGTGTGAGATACACTGTAAGATATAATTATTTAAACACTTAAATGTATTTATTTATGCTATTAAATTGTATTTATTTGAAAATTAAATTAAATTGAATTTATTATTATTAAATTTTTTTAAATAAATTGTTAGTGCAATTTTAAATTGCATTGATTGATTACGCTATATCAGCGTTATCGGCCATCGGCCAGCACTCTGTTATCAGCAGAAAACAGCAGCGCTGTGGTACCTGGACAGAGCGGGTTGCAGGCCAGTTTCTGGATGGCTTGACCCTCACAGATGGCTCCTCCGTTCAGAGGCGCGGGATTGGTGCAGCTGCGCGTCCTCTTCTGATAGCCCCGCCCACAGCGACTGCTGCACACCGACCACTCCGTCCACGTCGACCAGCCGCCGTTCACTGAAGCGAGAAACACAGCCACTCAGTCACTCGCTCGCTCATTACGTGTGTGTCTGTGACGGAGAGCCCAGGGAAAACACACACTATCGCTCAGACTCATGTACAGCAGCGCTGACTCCTCTCTCAATCAATCAGTGATCGTAGCTGTGATAGCCAACGAGTCTCCGTGATGAGCTCGAGCAGAACCTGAAGCAACACTTAGAGCAATAATTCACCCCAAAATAAACGTCCCGCCAGGCTTGACTTGACAGGTTTCTTCAGTGGAACACGACAGGAGATGATTAGCAGGATATAATGAAGCCGTATGAACAAATCAAAACACAAGTGACATTTGAAAGACGGAATACTCTTGAGTGCAAATCAAATTTTTATGTGATTTTTCTAAATCATTTTAAAAGTTATTTTTAATATAATTTAACCCTTTGCCTTCCAAGAAAGTCATTCAAGTTTGGAACAACATGATGTGCAAACTTGTTTCCGCCACAGAAAAATAAAATAAAGTAATTGCAAATGTATTCTCACAATTCAGACTTTTTTTCTCACAATCTTGAGTCTATATCTCACAATTTATTCTTTCCCTCACAATCGTGTTTATATCTCACAATTCAGATTTTTTTTCCACAATCGTGAGTTTGTCACAATTCACTTTTCTCACACAATTGTGAGTTTATATCTCACAATTCATTTTTGTCCACAAAATCGGTTTTTTTTATTAACTATTACTTTAAGAGGCATTTGCTCCCCGTTCTTCTGTTGCGGTCCGTTTCTAATCAGAACACGTCTGTTTGTCCGTCTGAACCTCCTCTGACACACGTGTGTGTGATGCAGCTGCTCTGGAGGATGGATTGTGGTTCATTTCTCCTGCAGATGAGCTGAGATCAAAGCTCTCGTCCTCCCAGACTGCGTTCAGGCCTGAATGAGCAGGCGAGGGACTGTGGCCTTTTGTCTCCAGAAATCCATCACAGATCTGTGCCCCTTTTTTTACAGTCTCCCTTGGATTCAGCCGAACCACACGAGGAGAGCGTTTCTTGTCTTTCGTCTCGGGACAGTAAGTCAGAAGTGTGTGGTGAAAATGGACAGAAAGAGCTCAGAGTAAAGCAGTGTGTTAATCCGGTGAGTGAGAGTGGTTTAATATGTCAGTCGACGGGAGGTGAAACCTGAGCCCGATGACATCATCAGCATCTCCATGCCTACATCATCCGAGAGATGCTCGAGTTGCCAAAGCACTGACAAACTGCCACATACAGGTGCATCTCAATAAATTAGAATGTTGTGGAAAAGTTCATTTATTTCAGTAATTCAACTCAAATTGTGAAACTCGTGTATTAAATAAATTCAATGCACACAGACTGAAGTAGTTTAAGTCTTTGGTTCTTTTAATTGTGATGATTTTTGCCTCACATTTAACAAAAACCCACCAATTCACTATCCTCACCTACACCTCCTTCCACACGATACAAATATTCCAACCGTCCATCCATTCATTCATCCATCCATCCATCCATTTATCCATCAATCCATCCATCTGTTTATCCATTAATTCATCAATCCATCCATTTATCAATCCATCCGTCCATCCATCCATCCATCCATCCATCCATCTATCCTACTATTTATCCATCAATCCATCCATCAATCCATCCGTCCGTCTATCCATCCAACCATTTATCCACAAATCCATCCATCAATCCATCTATCTACCCATCTATGTATCCATCAATCTGTCCATTAATCCATCTATCCATCCATCCATCCACCCATTTATCCACAAATCCATCCATCAATCTACCCATCTATGTATCCATCCATCCATCCATTAATCCATCTATCCATCCATCCATCCATCCAACCATTTATCCATCCGTCCATCCGTCCATCCATTCGTCCATCCACCCAACCAACCTTTTAAAGCAGAATAAATCACACCAACATTTAAAGTTTGCTTTCAAAAACTGTGAACTGTGTTTTCTAGTGAAGAATCATTTTTATGAATTTCTTTGAATTCTACTTACTTACATTCAAATTCAAAATGCAATTCTGCATCAGTTTACCACCTCAATTCCCATTAGGAGCTGAACTGGAACTGAAGTCATTCCTCAATTCAGTTCTGACTGGTGCACAATAGGAGCGTGAGTAAATAATGAAGTGTTTTCATTTCTATCTGAGCTGTTCATTTAAAGCAGCGTCCAGTCACACTCGAGTGGCCCGTCCCATTAACCTCTAAACCAATGACAGAGCTCAACCTTACGGCACGAACCGGAGAGAACTTATAATTACATCAGCTTCACGACGTGCAAGAGAAGTCAATTTATTACAGCACGGGAGAGGGAAACATCTGTTTTCCAGATCTGGGATTGTATCTGTAGGGAAAACAGTAAGCCATCGCAGCAGGTGGGCTGTTTTCACTTGTTGAAGAGCTCCTAAAAGACTCGTCCGCGCTTTACCGCGGGTGCCGAGGTGCGATTTCACAAACCGTCAGCCTCGTGAAAGCCTTGCGTTTGCGTTCGGGGGGAAATTTACACCAAGTTATTCTTTCAACACTCAAAGCGGTGGCGGGTTAAAATGCTTCCAACTTGTCAGCGCGGCTTTCTGTTCTAAAGAGGAACATTTTCCAGCTCCAGGGATTTTCACAGCAAGATCCGACCAAAATAAACTTCAGAGGAGACGGACTGCGGTGCGATGAAGGAAACGCTACCAGAACAGCTGGTCAAAGTTTTGCATTAGTTTCAATCGTGGACTTTGCCTTTGTGCTATCAAAGCTACAGAAAGATGATCAGGATTTCAAGGTGAAACACTGAAACCAGTTTCAGTGCACTACAAACTTCTCCGAATCTTAGCAAATAATGAAATGCAAACGAACAAATAAAAATAAATAAACAAACAAACACCTAGCAACCACCTAAAACACCCAATAAATATATAAAAATATATATAATTATTTTTAAAAAAACGTAAAAACAATAAATAAATAAATAAAATACTAATAAATAAATAAATAAATTACCTGAAATAACTCAAAACCCCCTTTAAAAAAACAACAGTAAATAAATATAAATTAAAAATACAAATAATAAATAAACAACTAGCAACCACTTGAAACTAGATGCCACATAGCAATGGACAATAAACCAACTCCAAAAACCTTAGCAAATAAAAAAAACACAATTAAACAAACACAAATAAATACAAATAAAACAACCAAACAAAAATAAATAAATAAATAAACACCCAGCAAACACCTAAAACCACCTTATAAATAAATAAAACAACCACATAACAATACACTACAAACCACTCTAAAAAATATAAAAATAATAAATTAATCAATAAAATAAAATAAATAAATAATAAAATTAAAATGACTAAATAAACAAAAACTTTGCAACCACATAGCAATGCACTACAAACCACTCCAAAAACCTTAGCAAAATAAAATATAAATAAATAATACATTTATTAATTAATTAAAATAAAATAAATAATACAATAAAAATAACTAAATAAAAACCTTGCAACCACAGGGCAATGCACAACAAACCACTCCAAAAACCTTAGCAAAATAAAATATAAATAAATAAACTAAATAAATATTCAAATTAATGAAAAAGACCCACATTTTCTTTATAAAACACTAAAGTCTACTTTTTCCGATCAAGAGTGAACATACTGACTGTCTGAGATCAAACTGAACTGAAAATCAAACATTAAACACGTTAAATAATCTCATGTACTTGTAGTTCACACGCAGATAAACACTGAGACTGACCGTAGACGATGACGGTGGCTGTCGTGCTGCGGCGTTTGGCCACGATGTTCTTGGCGACGCAGGTGTAGTTGGCGGTGTCGGACAGACGGGCCTGTTTGATGATCAGGTTGTGGTCGATGGTGATGTAGAAGTTCCTGTCGTCGGCGGGATCGATGATCTCCTCGTTCTTCAGCCACTCCACCTGCAAACACACAGACAGACGTTCATCCCATCTCCATCCATAAATCACACACTTACATAGGGCTGCATGATAAATCGCAATCTTGATTAGGCAGAAGCTGCGATATTCATGCGTGCATCTCGTCAGTGAAGCACGGTTCTGTGATCAGTAGTAAATCTCCATCCGAAGGCCAGAGAAACTCCAAATATGCCCCGCAGAAGAAATCATTGCTGCTGCTGAATAAACTGAAGATTTAACTGCTTTCATTCATTCAACGTGACTAATAAACACACGACTACGACAATATATGGTTTATCTGAATTCGTCTTATTATAATTAATAATTATATTATATAATTGTGGCTTCTCACATCATCTCACAGAAGGATTTATTTCAAACACTCGACTGACGTTATGAGTTTGGAGTAAAAACATGTTATTAAATGTGGTATTTTCACGTGCGTTCTGATGGAGCAGCATTTACTACACAGAGCCGTAGTTCACTGAGAAGCTACGCAAACAGCTGTCATAATCGCAGAACGATTTCTTTTTTCACGATTATATCATCTGCTATTTTTTTTGCATAGCTTGTCAGTGAACTACGGCTCTGTGTAGTAAATGCTGCTTCATCTGAAAGCACACGATGAAGATTTACTACTGATCACAGAACCGGCTTTACTGACGAGATGCGCATGACTATCGCATTCGATTAATCGTGCAGCCCTACATTTACAGGCAGCTTTCCGCTTATTACGCTTCAATAAAGTCAGAAGTGTTGATGTGTGTGCAAAAGCTCCATAAAGCTTCAATATCCATCATGTTATTCCCCCTGAACCATCACTCAGACGCGATGGGAAGTAAAAAACGTACTTCAGTAAGTGCTTTAATGATCTTTGACCTTTATTACGAGCTTCCTGTTTCCAAATGGCCTCTGTATTGAACGTGAGGTCACATGTGCAGAGAAAGTGACTGTTTTAGAGCTGCTTGACTGTAAATCACGCAGATCTTCCTTCAGTTTGGCAGCAGATGATCTGATGCTCTGCTTTCACTGCTCTCAGGAGAGCTATCGCACAGACCTGAGATCAGCAGAGGAACAAAGACGGCCGACCAACCAGGAGGGACTCTCTTCATACCAGACACCTAGCAACCAGCCAAAATCACCCTAGCAACCACACGGAAATGCACTACACAGACCTCCAAAAACCCTAGCAAGCAACCAAGCAATTAAATGAACGAACGAATGAATGATGTTTTTTAATTAATTAATTGTTTTTTTTGTTCCTTTTTTCTTGTGTAATGAAATAATATTTTGTACAAAACAAAATATTATGTACCTCGTAAACCATGTACATGCGTTGCAAAAATAGAAGAAAAAAGTAATAAATAAACAAATAAATATAAGTACTGATAAATAAATAATAAAAAATGTAAAATTAACTAAACAAAATACAAATAAATAAATATTTTAATAAAAAATAAAAAATACAAGATTTATAAATTGTTATAATAAATAAATATAAACCACCTAAAACACTCTAGAAAACATGTCAATAGAATACAAACCACTCCAAAATCCTTAGCAAATAAAACAAAATACAAATAAATAATAATTAAAAAAATAATAATTACATAAAATAAACAAACCATTCCAAAATTGTAACAAATAAAAAACATATTTAAATCAAAACAAATACTAAATAAATAAAATAAATGAACAAAAAAAATAAATGTATAAAAATGAAAGATGCAAATAAAGAAATGAATAAATCACAAAAATGAATAAATATATACAATAAACAAACATCTGGCAACCACATAGTAATGCACTACAAACTACATCCAAAAGCCTTAGAAACAACTGCAGCATTGTGTCAGTGATTTCAGCAAAGACAAACAACACCCACGTTTCTTTATTAACCACAGAAGTCTGCGTTTTCCAATCAAATGTGAAAATCCTGACTGTCTTGAGGTCAGACTGAACTGAAAAATCAAATGCAAACACCTCAAATAAGCTCATCTAGAGACAATAAGAGCGACTCTGTACTTGCGGTTTAACACAGATAAAGACTTCACCAGCAGAAAATAAAGCGTAAAGATCTGAATTCATTTTGGTGCTGATTTTGTGTAGAAATCGGAGATGTTTGCAGAGAGTCTTACTAGAGCTGAAATCCTCATCAAATAAGCAGAAATACATAATAAACAACAGAGACACACTGACGGGCGAAGGAGAATTAAGACGCAGAATGATGAATTATTTCTCATAATTTGATTTATGCTGCCTCTAAAAATAACTTGATGGCTTCCTGCTCTCATTAAAGGACTCGTCTGCTGATAAAAACTAAGTATTGCATATGATGTGCAATTTTCGTTTTTATGGTCTTCCATTACGGTTTATTAATATTTAATGAGCAGGCCGTGTGTGTGTGCGGCTGAGGGTCGAGCGGTCAGATGCTCAGACGCTCAGATATCTACAGTAATAATCCCTCTGATATCAGCGGAGCGATCCCTTCTCGATCTAAACCCAAGCGACAAACGCAGAAGCACCGCGAGACACACCGTAAATGCGATTCAATTGAGTTGATGTGTCTTTATCATCAATCCTGTGATGTAATCAGAGAAACGCTGCCATTGAGAGGCGCAGAAGACAACAAATCAATGCGGATTACCCACAAATCCACTGGGCTCTCAGCCTGCCAAGGTGATTATATGTGGCCCTCAAATTACTAAAGCAAACAGGCCAACAAAAGCCCAGCGGTGGCTCCGTGTGTGTTTATGGCAGATGCTGGAGACGATGTTCGTTCAGTTTGGCCCCTGAGGGACGCGAGAGTCTGTTCAGTCCAGAGAGACGCACATCCACTTATTACTGTATTAAACTAATGAGTGAATCTCAGGAAAACCTGTAAAAATCACACTGAAATCAAGAGAAAACAACATAGAATTGTGGATAATGAAGTTTCTTTGGCTTATGATATTTATTCATGGAAATTAAAAACATTTTCCTTCAAATTTGTGAACTTTCTATAATAATAATAATAATAATAACGCATAATTTAAATCTTAAATAATAATAATAATAATGTATTTATTGTTAATATGGGAAAATTATTTATTTTAATGGCACATAATAATAAAAATAATGAAAACAACAATAATAATAATAATAATAACAGTCTGCCTGTCTATACTATTACAGTTTTATTATATTGTATTATATTATATAATATTATATTATATTTCTAAAATCTGTCTATATACCAGTAGTTTTTTGTTTGAGTTATCTAAGTACTTCTAATAACTAATATCAGCAATTAAAAAAATTAGTTGCAACAAATTTTTTAAATATTTTTTATTTCAAGTTACTTTTTTATAATTACATTTTCATTTTTTATTTTAACCAATTTTTACGATTTTAATTCCTTGCTTTTATTGTTGATACATTTTTATGATTATTTTAATTCCTTTTATGTAAAGCGCTTTGTGAGTGTGTGTGTGTGAGTGAGTGCGTGCATGTGTGAGTATGTGCGTGTGTGAGTGCGTGTGCGTGTGTGTGCTTGTGTAAGTGCATGTGTGCGCGCGTGTGCGTGCGTGCGCGTGTGTGCGTGCGAGTGAGTGTGTGTGAGTATGTGCGTGTGTGAGTGCGTGTGCGTGTGTGTGCTTGTGTAAGTGCATGTGTGCGCGCGTGTGCGTGCGTGCGCGTGTGTGCGTGCGAGTGAGTGTGTGTGAGTATGTGCGTGTGTGAGTGCGTGTGCGTGTGTGTGCTTGTGTAAGTGCATGTGTGCGCGCGTGTGCGTGCGTGCGCGTGTGTGAGTGTGCGTGCATGCGTACGCGTGTGTGAGTGTGCGTGTATGTGTGTGTGTGAGTGCGCGTGTGTGCGTGCGAGTATGTGCGTGTGTGAGTGTGTGTGTGTGATTGTGTGTGTGCGTGTGTGTGTGTGAGTGAGTGAGTGCGTGTGTGTGTGAGTATGTGCGTGTGTGAGTGTGTGTGCGTGTGAGTGTGTGTGCGTGCGTGTGCATGCGTGCGCGTGTGTGTGTGCGTGCATGCGTGCGCGTGTGTGAGTGTGTGTATGTGCGTGTGTGAGTGCGCGTGTGTGCGTGCGAGTATGTGCGTGCGTGAGTATGTGCGTGTGTGAGTGCGTGTGCGTGCTTGTGTGAGTGCATGTGTGTGTGCGTGTGTGTGAGTATGTGCGTGCGAGTGTGTGCGTGTGAGTGAGTGTGTGTGAGTATGTGCATGTGTGAGTGCATGTGTGTGATTGTGTGTGTGTGTGTGTGTGTGAGAGAGTGAGTGCGTGCGTGCGTGTGAGTGAGTGCGTGCGTGCGTGAGTGTGTGTGAGTATGTGCGTGTTTGAGTGCATGTGTGTGCGCGTGTGAGTGAGTATGTGCATGTGTGTGCATGTGTGTGCGCGTGTGAGTGAGTGCGTGCATGTGTGTGATTGTGTGCGTGTGTGTGTGTGTGTGTGTGAGTGCGTCTGTGTGTGAGTGCGTCTGTGTGTGAGTGTGTGAGCTCAACGCTCCTCTACCAGCTGCATTCAAGTGTGTTACTGTGCTGAAGTGTTATGAGCTAAACATAGAGCTAAAGATCCACATGCAGATCAACACACCAAACACTCCTGAACACCGGGAAACCTCTCTCTCTCTCACACACTCACTCGTTATTGTCTGATTGTCAGTGAGATGTTCAGAGCAATAATTGGCACATTTACTAATGAAAGGCAATTGCCACGTCAGTCAAAAGTGCTTTTCTCCAACTCTCTCTTGGAAAAGGTACATAGAAATGAGAGAAAAGAAATAAGAAAAAGATTTAGGTGAATGTAAATGCAAGGTAAAAGTAAATGTGAATCATGCAAAAATAAAAGTGGTTGCTATGAGGTTGCTAGGGTGTTCTGAAGAAGGTGTAACCTAATGTTCAAACATTTGGGTGAGAATTTTTAATGTTCTTAAAGAAGTCTCTTCTGATCAGCATGGCTTCATTTATTTGATCAAAAAATAAAGTAAAAATATGTGTTAAACTGTAATTTATTTCTGT